CACATCCAGTGAAAGGACCTTTGAAACTAAGATCACATCCAGTGAAAGGACCTTTGAAACTAAGATCACATCCAGTGAAAGGACCTTTGAAGCTACGATCACATCCAGTGAAAGGAACTAGGATTAAAACAATCAGTGTACATGGGTTCCTCAATTATTGATTTTATTGAATTAAGAAGCACCATTTGTTTTTATTATACATCATATTTTGTGTAAATATAGTTTGTGCTCATGGAGCGATTTTGTACTTTTTGGGTCTAACAATGGAATAAAAAGGATTTCCTATTATTCTAAGAATAACCATAATTGTTTCGATTCAATATCATTGTTCATGATTTCTACCAGTCTCCATGCACTAGCTTTCACTTGCAATGTTTCTTAATATGTGCTAGCTCACTCCACCCTGCAACATCAAAAATAACAGTTTAGATTCATAACACAACATTATGCTTAGAGAATAATGACATTTATGTCGAAATATTTTACTGTTGTTAGATCCGGTAGTCCAACTAGATAAATCAGCATATCCCAGATCAACAAATAGGATGCTTGAATACTGGTACGTTTATCATACCGCACACAGCTATTTCAAAAAAGGGGCGAACGGCGATAAGTGATAGGAGATAATACTTCCAAGATGCAAGAATAGCTGGAATGAGACCGAAATGGTACATGGAAAGTACGTACTGAATTGGGTGCATAGTGCAGTTCTCGTATGATTGTGAATAGTTAACGGAACGAACACGGTCGTGACACAGCAAGGGATACGCCAGACAAATCACATTGCACGAGAATTTACTCTCAATCCAAACAAATACCTGCGGAACACGGCATAAACACGGCGTGGACACGGTCACGCCAAGATCACGACACTTTTAGACCAATCATATTGCGCGTGAAACAAATCAGCCAATTAAAATTCTAGAAAGTATCACGGTCACATCACGCTTACGGCACTGAGCTTTTCACAGTCATACGAAAAGTGCACTATTGTGATCACCCGTGGAATGATCACTGCAGACGCCAGTCATTTAGTTATTTTTCAGAATACCTTTAGGCAAAGACTTCTATGCTTCATGTTTTAAACCCAAGAATGAATTGTATAACCTTGTTTTGGAAATGACATTTTCAGGTTTTACCAAGAGAAGTTTACATTTATTTTCGTCTTGTCCTTACCAAATAGATATTAATTTTTTCTTTGTTCTTTTATTTGTGTATTTTAGGAATCTCAGATCTTTTCCTTCCAAAAGCTTGGTTAAGAGGTTGTTGGGGTTGTGCTAAACCAGATCTACCAAGGGCTAGACCATAATGAACTGAAAAGAGAGAAAAAAGGGCACAACATTGTAAGTAAGCTTTGTATTAATCAACCTGATACAAGCGATAATATAAGCTGGTTAGTTTAAAACATGTCATGTATATACATATTTGCGAAGACAGAGGAACAACAGACCCCTTCACCCAATGCACAAAACACAAAACACACTACATCAAGAAAAAACCGATAACTACTAAATTCTTATGAATTCGAGTTTGTTGGTCGGACATTCTGTATTCCATTGGGAAAACTCTTCATTTTTGAGTGGAAACTCAAGCATAGCCGGGATCGGTCGAATGTATAAATCTAAATCTGTGTACACAGATGTTTGACAGACATTTACAATTTTAAGCAATCGGTGTCTATTCCATGCTGTGTTATCAAAACGCATTTTAGCTTGTCCGACGTAGCAACAGTAACTAGGTAGGTACAACAAAGAATGCAGGATCTGTGTATTCTGAACAGTTCTGGTAAAAAATAGGATTGAGCTACTTACGTCCTTGTGGTGCAAAGGGAACAGCGGCTGGTACTGCTGCAGGGTAGGAGGGAACAGCCAATGGTGAATGTATGAAAGGGGCAGCATACATAGGTGGGTGCAAGCCTACATAGGGAGAAACGGGTGCTGCTGCAAATCCAGGTAATCCAGCTGGTGCCATGTATTGTGCTGGAATGAGTTGTCGCTTAGATCTTCCTCTTTTGTGGGCAATGGTATTCTTAACATCAGCAGTTGCAAGAGCATGGCCTGGGAAACCAATGGTTGAAAAGCCTGGATGGGTGATTGGGTGTCCGTAAGGAGCTGCGAAACCATGGCCATGGCCATGACCTCCCCATCCTCCATGACCTCCCCATCCTCCATGACCTCCCCATCCTCCATGACCCCAACCTCCAAAGCCCCATCTCTTGGATCCTTGTGCTGTTTTGGATGCACTTCTTGGGATACTGCTTCGGAAAAATGGATGAGCATTTCCCATCACTATAGAAGAAGAAAATACCAAACAAGTATATTAATGCACAATGAATGGAAAATATTTGGAAAAACAGAATTATCAATAAGAACTAAAATGAGCATTTCAAGGCAATTTCCGTATCTTTCACAGGGCAGAACGCAAGTATTCATATATTAAAATGCTGACATTCAATTAGATTATTTTGATATTGTCCAAACTATATATTTAGAACCTATAGTCACATGAATTCTATTTCATTTCAATCTTCTCAAGTATCAAATGCTTGAGGTAGCAAACCGCATTTTATGGCCCACTTCCCTTGTTTCTACTTCTAGAAGTCACATTCAAATGGTAGAGTCACACTTACTTGGGCCATGATATCCACCAAGTCCTCCCATACCACCCATTCCGTAACCCAATCTGTAGTTATCTCCACTGGCATACCCATATCCAAGATGGATAGTCTGTTTCTTTTCCCCATTTTCATTCACCTCAGGAATCTCCCCTCTGGCATTTGCTTTGACGTCTTTGCTCTTTTGCTTTTCAATCTTGGACTTGTAAAATCCACCACAACCACCTAGGAAGCCTGGATATCCTAGAAATCCATGTCCCCATCCAAACCCTGGGCCATAACCGCCGAATCCAGGTCCGAAGCCAGGTCCGAGGCCACCTAATCCATATCCAAATCCTGGTCCATAGCCACATCCTGGACCAAATCCGAAACCACATCTTTTGTTGGCTTTACTGTCCTTATCCTTAGAAGGTTCTGCGTTCTTGCTCACTTTTCCTTTGCGGCAACAACCACCACCCCAGCCCCATCCTCCTGGATGTCCCCATCCATCATATCCATATCCACCCCATCCAAGAGGAGCAAATCCTCCGTATCCTCCGTATCCTCCGTATCCTAGACCACCAAATCCGTGTCCCCAGCCCCCATGACCCCATCCACCGTGTCCCCATCCACCATGGCCAAATCCATCACATCCACCCCAGTTCCATCCTCCGTATCCTCCGCAACCTCCGCAACCTCCACAACCTCCGCATCCTCCACCACAGCGCTTGCCTGCTTTAGGTTTGTTATCTTTCTTTGACCCAGATGCATCGGGAGCTGAACGTGTCGTCTTACTTTCTGTCTTTGCTTGAGCTGCTACTGGTGCTTTTGAATTCTTGCCTATTTTGGACTTGTAGAATCCCCAGCCATCGCCACAACCGCCGCAGCCGTGTCCTCCCCATCCCCCATGTCCTCCCCATCCAATATCTCCATATCCATGTCCCCATCCACCGTGTCCACAATCACCATGGCCCCATCCACCATAGCCCCAACCACCATGGCCTAAATCTCCATGACCCCATCCTTCTCCCCATCCATCACCACATCCACATCCGTGTCCATAATCACCCCATCCAAACCAGTCTCCATGATCGCAGCCATGACCGCAGCCATGTCCACCTCCATGACCCCATCCACCACAGTCTCCTACTCCTCCACATCCACACCCACCACCACATCCCCCACCACATCCACATCCACAACCGCATCCGCATCCACAACGTTTGCCCTTGTCTTTTCCTTTCACTTCAGTACTTCGCTTTTGCTTCTTTGGTGCCTTGGAAACCTTTGACTTGCCGCAGCATCCACCCCCACAATCATCTACAACATGAACAACATCTATTCCTGGACACTCATATCCACATCCACAACCATGACCATAACCTAGATAGCCGGGGAAGCCACCACCATATAAGCCACCGCATCCACCGCATCCCCCGTATCCACCGTATCCCCCGTATCCACCGTATCCCCCGTATCCCCCGTATCCCCCGTATCCACCGTATCCACCGTATAATCCAAATCCTCCAAGACCAGAATATGGATATCCTAATCCATAGCCAACTACTGGGGATAAAGCGCCATAGCTGTGAGGGGCAAGTCCGTATGCCCCGCAACCTCCGAACCCACACCCACAACCACACTTCTTATGTGAGTTTTCATTTTTATCACTTGATGGTTTACAACCACAGTCTTTATTGTCTTTGCCTTCTTTGTCTTTGTTTTCGCTTTCTTCTTCTTCAGTATCGCGCTTGCTAGCTGAGGAGGAAGGGGCATGATCCTCAGGTTTGGGGGTTTCTTTATTGTCTTTAGATTTGGGGACCTTAGATTTATACCAACCACACCCATAACCTAAGCTTAATGGAGCTAATCCTCCAAACCCATAGCCTGGACCGTAACCTAATCCAAATTGATACCCACCCCATCCTCCATATCCTCCCCATCCTCCATCTCCACCCCATCCGCCGTATCCTCCCCATAATCCCAACCCGCAACATCTCTTATTGGAGTTTTCTGGTACTTCATTCTTAGCTTTAGCATTCTCAGTCTTTGCAACATCTGATCTGTAAAAACCCCCGCCCCCGCAACCACAGCCAATCGGTACTCCTAATCCATACCCAGGCCATGCACCGAAACCTGGGTGACCGTAGTGAGCGTAGCCTGGGTAACCAAATCCCCAAGGTGCACCGCCAATCAACTGCCTTTTGGCCGCATTTTGTAAGGGTCGTTTTGGGATACTAGATTTGTACCAATATCCAGGCCAACCTGCTCCAGCTCCCCATGGATTATGTCCCATTGCGGCACCATATCCGGCTACTGCATGACCATGGCCATATCCATAGCCGGCTCCATGCGGACCATAAGACCCGTGGCTTATCCATTGTTTTTTAGCTACGTTTTGCGTTTGTGGAACCCTAGATCGGTACCAAGCACCAGGCCACGCTGCACCACCCCATATACCACCTATTCCAAATCCTGGATACCCTAAAGGATGGCCAAAACCCCACCCTCCCGATCCTCCATAACCCCAACCTGCATGCCCCAGTCCTCCCCAGCCGAAGCCGTGGTGACCAAACCATCTTTTCTTGGCGGAAATTTCGCTGTCATTCTCATGCTCTTTCTCACCTTCATCTTCCTGCTTTTCGTCTGAATCCTGTTTCTTTTTGTCTTCAGATTCTTGTTCGTTTTTATCGTCTTGTTTTGACTCGGCTGGCGTATCTTCTTTTGTCCTGTCATCTTGTTTCCCTTGTTCTTCTTCATCAGGCTCGGCTCTCTTTAATCTGCTTTTCGTCCCATTCTCTTGAGCCAAGGGTTTGCCTTCGGTTAACACGAGTCCAATAAGTGCAACAAGCGCCAAACATAACAATGGAGTCCACCTCATTTCGGTAGACTTCCCTGATAACTTGTCTTTGATTCTCGCCTCTGGTGTAGGCTTCAAAGTAATGATTCTTTACCCGACCTATTAATGATTCTGATCTAACAAAAACGACGTGTCCTATTAATATTAAAGCAGTCTAAATATAAGGTTTAAAAAAACCTGGTATATGTGTCATGACTTTCACGTGTAATTTGCGTAAAACTTATTTTAGACTATTTTTATCGTCCATCCTGAATACCAAGCATTTGATATTTTTGTGTCTTAGAATAAATGCTGGAGTAATTAATTTTTCCCGATTAAGTGACTATTTTTTGTCCTTGTGTGATTAATATTTTAAAGCTCTCGCTCGAGTTAGCCGAAACAAAATAAGTCAACTTTGACCCGTTATATGTCAGTGGCACCAGTATTTTACCTGCCTTTTAGTCAATATTCCACTTGAGTCTTAATCGACTCTCCACTCAAGCAGGTAACAATAGATCAAAAGGCCTCTACTAGGCGAGTCACAATGAAATGAAGCGTCAAACTTTATCAACAACTGTCATTTTTCCTTCTTGGTTTAAAAAGTTTATTGATTTTTTCATTGGTTTAAAAAATGAGATGCGAAAAATCACGAACAGGGGAGGGAAGAGGCAGATATTGTGATCCAAGATAACCTACTCTGTTTCAGGGGGAGGAGTGTTGATGACTATCATTGCTATAGCATTACCGGAATAGTGGATCCAAAGTAAACTTTCATTTTTTTCCCTATTACATGCATTATTTTCTCTTGTGAAATGAAGACACCTAATCTTCAATTAATTTACTTAAAACAACATGAAGCAACGATAACCTATCAACCAGCTATCGCGTGAATTCAACCAAATTGTTTATTTAAGAGCATTTGAAAGCAAAACAACAATGCTGTCACATTTTCCAGCTACCAAGTCTTCCCCGGGATTTTTGATGAGACAAATGTCTATACATATACAGTCAGTTTGCGTATAAAATATGTCAGAGCTGCAAATATGCTGTGCACGTCCCATTGAGTGACAAAAATGGTATTATTTACTCTATTTTTTACTTCATTGTCCAGGATTATCCTGTTTTTTGGCACCTTTCCGAGTCCCTTTTTTCCAAGTCTCTTGAAGATTTTTTTCTAAAAAGTAAATTCGTTTTGGTCATTTCATAATGATATTTTTATTTTTGTTAATAGTGTTTTTATGTAAAATGCTATTTTAAAGTACTGAACAAACTTAAAAAATATATTATTCAAGACTATATTATATATAGTTGGCCATCAAAAATGTTTTCATATTAATTGAGAAAAAAAATTTTTTTAGTAAAAATATTTTCTATAATATTTAAGAAAAAACATTTCAAATAGACTTGATAATTTTTTTTTTTATTCTTCCTTCCATTTTTTTCTCTTTCCATCCTTCATTCTTCTTTCCTTCTGTTTTCCTCTCTTCCTCTTCTAGCTTGTTTCTTTTTTCTTGTTTAGACTCAAAATTAAATCAATAGACTAAATAGTCCACAGGTGTTTTAACATGACAGAAAAACTCGTAAAAATCTATCAGTTTGTTTATATAATAAAGCAAATTATTTTGAAAACTTGAAAGTGATAGGAATTTGTACAACAGAAACGTCCAAATCAGCCTGTTAATTTATGTCTTTTTCCCTAAAACCGTTTTAAACACTAGATCTTGAGAAGTTTCGACTTGTTTGAGCTGAGAAAACAGTCAAAGCGATTGAACGAATTTTTGACTAAAATTATAGAACCATGAACTGGAGTTTAGTTTTAGCTGTAAGTACGTTGAGCGACCCTCTTTGCTTGACCTTTGCTTTTAGATTTGAAGCGTAGAAGCCTTCATTTATGGGTCGCCATGCGTAGAAAATACTTGTAGGTTCCACCTGTTTGAAGTAAAGTGGTTCAATATCCTCTCCAATCAAAAGACTCTAAGACAGTCGCCTTTAAACACTAGTCAGGTTGTCCTTTTAAGACCAATCAAAAAGTACAGGTAGATCTATTACACGCTTCACAGCTATCATGAGCTAAGACACCTTAATCTACATTCCTTTTCTCTGATGTCACTACTGAAAAACCAAGATTCACTCTCTCTTGGATTTGAATCTGTGATGTAATTGAGGAACAATGGCCCGGCCATCTCTCTAAGTCTATGGGAATTGCCAATGATCTAAAAAGAATAGCTATGTCTGGGCGTTTTGCGCCAAAACCCTTGGCAACTTTGGCGCTGTTTGTTATTCTTTTACAATGTTTATATAATAAACAAGCGATTGCCAAACCACGTCCAAAACAATATCTTGCCAAGGAGCAATGGACAGGTAATGTACGAGAAGGGAACGATAGACACTGGTCGGATGTATCAATCGAAAGGAATATAGATACACGAGATAAACGAAGTGCTGTCGACAAAGACGACAGTCTAGAGGGCCAGAAAGGATTCAAAGTTTTAACTGCAAGTAATGATAAAAGACAAGGGATCGAAACTCCTATTGAGGCTTTAAAATCTGAGGATACTTCAGTGGAAAACGCACCTGAGCAAAACTCTAGATCAAACGTCAACGAACCCAATGGTGACAGCGGTGGGATCACGAACGCTGTCCGACAAAATTCCGAAAATAATTCTCAACAAAGAAGCACAACTACTTCATCTCAAAATGAAATAAAACCAAGTGATTCAGGAAGAAATAGTGATAGTAATATCGCTGGGGAAAAGCGAGGTGAGGTAACACTTAGTTCAAAGAAACCTGAGGAATCAAAAACACAAAGCAGTACTGTGGTAGATAATTCGGACACTAAGCAGGACAATGCAGCGAGCTCTGCAACCAACAATAATAATAATATTAAAGCTAAAAGCGATAACAACCAATCTACAGCTAGTCCAAAACAAAATGACCCGCCCTCTTCTGTGACCATACAAGGTAACTCTATTAATGGACAACCTATCAGTTCCAGTTCATCTAGCTCGAATCCCGAGCCTATTAAGGATCCTATTGGAAACAGCGGCTCAGAAGTAGTGACATCACATCCGCTATACGAAAATGAAGGGGAAAATTCTCGGTATCCCTACCGAGATGCTCGTTCGAAGTCCGAAGGATCAAAAGAATCTTCAGAACCAGAAGTGGGGCATTTTCAAGTAGATGATAAATCAGCTGATTTGGAAATCAACGCCAATTCCGCCGGCGTTAAAGTCAAAGCCAAACCAGCTTCGTTGCAGGTTGTGTCCCGTCCAGGGGCTCATCCACCCACGCCTATCGTTCCTATTGGACCGATACACCCGTATTATCATCACCCTCATTACTATCCTTATCCTTATGGTGGTTTTAGAAGAAGCAGGAGACCATATCACAGGAGACTCTATGGTAGCCCCTATCATGCACACTATCGGTAAGAATGATATGGTTACCATGGTAATAAACACCCAAATGACTTTCATTAGGTAACCATAGTAATAGTAAGTTGTGTTGTGTTGATTTCTTAATCATGTTGATATATAGGATATGTAACCTTGTTTATTTTGTCTGTTATCATTAACATTATCATTAGCATTAATATTAGCATTAGCATTAGCATTAGCATTAGCATTAGCATTATCATTATCATTATCATTATCATTAGCGTTATCATTA